TCCATGTTGTGCTTTTTGCTTGACCCCAATCTGTGTTGCTCAGTTTTCTTGATACTGTTGCAACTTTCTGGCATCTTTAATAGAAGTCTCCATTGCTGCTGGCGGTAAAACAGTAGCACAATAGTGAGATTTGGGGCTTATAACTGGGGAACCTACTTGAATGGCTTTGCAGAGGCCTCCCAACTTTGTAAAGGTGGTACTGAATGCCCCCATCGACCACTGAAATATCCCTGCTCTTCCACAGCATAGGTCCAATATATTTAGGACCTACAATGAAACTGGTAAATGGAATGTGTAAAACTGTCTCTTCAGTACTCCCCCATCATTGTATATTTCCCAGTGTGTTTGCATAACCATCCTATTTGTGCACAGTGTGCACCTATAGTGCTAAAGTTAAATATCTGAATTTTGTCAGCACATTTCAAAAACAGGGTAGTAATTGAGAATAGGGCATAATGGCTTCTTGTTTATTACATTTCTGAAGAAAAAAGAAGTATTAGGTTCACATGAAAATCACATTGTGTTTTATCTGCTTTAGAGGTAATCATGTAAACTGTCTATAAAATGATAGTTCATTTCCTGTCATGGTCATATCCTTTTCATTTTTAGAGAGATATGAAGCATCAAGTCTTGCAATTGTGCCCATCTCATTTATCTTCCAATTGTTACTGGCTTTCTGACCAGGGCCGGCTCTAACTTTTTTGCTGCCCCAAGCAGCAAAAAAAAGCACTGCCCCCCCTGCCGAGTGCCACGCCGCCGGAACCTCCCCCGAGCGCCACGCCCCGCGCCGCCCCCCCACCGAGCGCCGCGCCGCCAAGCGCCGCTGGAACCTCCCCCCCGAGCGCCGCGCCGCCCACCCACCGTGCCGCCAGAGCGCCCCCCCCCGCGGAATGCCGTGCCGCACCACCCCCCGCCACCCCAAGATTGGCTGCCCCTTACCAGATGCCGCCCCAAGCATGTGCTTGGTTGCCTGGTGCCGGCCCTGTTTCTGACAGGGCTGGAAAGTTTATTCAAATTTCTAAAATGTAACTATATGTAAAATTAATGTAACAGTCTGGTGTGCTGGCCACAAATCCCATAAATTAAATATCACAAAGTAAATAGAGGGCTGCCAATAAATATATTCCATTCAGCCCAACCCCTCCTCAGTAGCTTTAGAGAAAAGAGGAAAGTAATTTGGGCCAATGACTATTTTTATTGCTTAAATGGGGGTTGGAGGAGAGGGGGCAGTGCCTAGAAGCTGTACAACATTTTTTTTCTAGAAGATTCTCTCAAAACAAGTGCCATAGAGATGCCCCCTAGACTGCTGCAGTTCTTGGGAGGGCCGGAACCCTCCATGTTGAAGTTACAATTTACAAGTTCTACCCCAATAACTCAAAGCAAATTTTAAACAGTGCAACAAACATTGAACCCCCAAAGGTGCTATGGAGTAACCACTAACATATAGCATTGAATATTCCTCATCTATTAGTGAGTGCGTGGTATGAGTAATACAATTTTTTCTTCAACGCCAAGTGTATAATTTTAGAGGAAGTGTGGCACAGTGTTAGGGCTCATCTGGTTTTCAGTTCCCCTCTGCTAGTATCAGGAGGATACTGCCACTGTCACCAATTTCCTCATGAAGCTCCTGCCATTCCCATCACTTCCTCTTTCACATTAACTGCCTCCTCCCCACCACCCAAAACCAAAACAAATCAAAACACCCTCTTTCTTTAATGCCATTGCTCCTGGCTCCAATCCTATGGCTTAGAAGGTAGTGCCGTGTCATAGGCAAAAGAAGGGTACATGCAATCAAACAGTTTGCATCTCCCTAAGCATGGCTCTAGATTTACTAGCAGCTCATTTTTCCCCATGATTGCTTCCATTGCCTAGCTTGTTTTATAAATGCACTGACACACTATCAAGCCCCTTTTATCTTCTTCCCCCACTCATCCTACAGGGACATGACATTGTGTTCCTTTCTCTGTAACTACAGTGAAATCCATCCTTTCCAAAACACTACATAATGATGACAAGGCAGGGTCACAAACGGGTAAAGTCAAAAAGCACAGCATTAAGCAATACCTAGTTAGAGGAAACAGAACTCTTAAATCCTGAAAGTAGTTCACTATTTAACATGTGGTTCTACAAGAAAAATGGAACTGAAGTTAACTTTGAGGAATTCCACACTGGTGTTTCTATAACTTCCAGCTCTCGTTCCCACCATCTGGAAGGTGAACGATGTTCTCTTCTCTGCCTCACCCCAACTCTCCAAGATTTGAAGGTCAAGGTCTCTGTATGGGTTTTGTACCCAAATTCTTTTTGGCTCAATCACCACCACGCTACATAGTGTTTTGCAGAAATTTGGACATCAGTTACACCTGTGCAACTCCATTGATTTCTGTAGTGCTTGTATGAGTGTTAATGGCCAAACCCGGCCCTCCAATTAGTAGTTAGTTAAGAGTTTTATTGATGACGCACAAGCTAGAATAGATGCTAGCTCACTCTCCCAGAGCTGTATTGACTCTGCAATGCACATTCAAACAGACTACAGTACGCAAAAGAGATTTAAATATTGTTTGTTGCTGGAGCAGTTGAGTTTAAAAAGCAACTTCACAAGCTTTAGCTTTCTTAAGAATATATTTGACAAGATAATTTTATAGTATATAATGTACCTCTCCATTATATACTATCCAAGGTGGAAAAACTCTCTAATGGGGGATTGCTAATCACAGCCTGTTTGGATGCATGCAAGCCTTAACTATTTTCACAACATTTTCATAACTGTATTTTTCTTGTTTCAAAATAGGTTTCTTCTTCTTGCTTATCTCAGTTCCTTTTCCTGTGTGCCAGTGAGGATGCAGCATTAGAATGGAAATGAGCAATGTGATGTTTTAAATGTGATCTTAAGGATCTCTCAGAACAGTTGGATTTAATTTGTTCCCCTTCTTGCAATGGAGGAATGTTTAAAATTTTCTGAAAAAACATGAAGTGTGAGTTACATTGGCAGGGAACAATAGCAGAACATTTTTTCCCATTAATGTTTCAGGCACATGTGAGAGTTGATGAAAGAAGGATAGACAGTTTGGTAATGTGACTTTTTCCAAGTTCCACAGAATATCAATGTGCAAGGAACTATTTGGATCTGCTAATTCAAGGTGTGACTCTCTGTATCTTTACCATTATGCTGAAATACTTTTATTGCATTTCTAGATACACACATGTACAAAAAAAAATACAATTTGCACACTTACATAACTTTATCATAAAAGGGGGTGGAAAAAGCTACAATATACACAGCAAATAAATCAGGCCACAGAAAACCTGAATCTAAATCCAGATTCTGATATCCTCATGCACATGTACCTTTCTTCAGGAACAGTCTCACTGACTTGATTGGGACTACTTATGGAGTAAGGTGCTACTCAACATGACAACGCCTCTTAAATATTAGTAATGGGTGCCAGCCAGTGCCTTTTATACCCCATTCTCTTCCCCCTTACAGTTCAGATTTGAATTGTTTGAATTTCCCCAAGCAAATTTAACACTGATGGCTTCAAGACTTCACTGTATACCATAAACACTCTCTTGTTTGAGGCTCATTCGTACTCTACATAAATTCTAGCTAATGAACACATGCAAATACAGACACGGGTGCTTCATATAATATTTAGTTCAAAGCAAAGTGACTTTCATCTTGAGAGAAAAAAAAAAATTCTTGTCCACAGTTCTTCACTTAACTCCCTCATCCTCCATGTGGCAAGCCTGCCCAGCAAGAAACATTTTCTTGCTAGGCAAAGAAAGCTTAGAAGTGAGTATCAATTTGTTTTTGCAAGGCCTTATTGTTTTATAAGTAATTTAAAAGAATTTATTACAATAGACATTTAGTGTGCAAAAGACAGAAAGAGGAACCTTTCATTGTGAAGGGTGCAGAAGGATAGCTGGGTGCATCTGGGCAGGAAATCACCAAAATACAAATGTGAAATGTTAAAATAATATATTATTAAAAGGACAAAAGAGGGGAAATAGTTAACCAAACAGAAGATCTTTGAAGTCACTAACTTCTGGAGAAAAAAAAAAAGTCTTGTAGGAGTTCAAAGTACCAATAAGTCACAATGTAGCAGAAAGCTGCTTAGAAATACTGTAGTTGGAATATTGTGCATACTTTTGGCATTGCCCTCTGTTCTCAGTAGGACTAACAAAGAGCACAAAGGTCTTTAAAAGGAAGGGCCAAATCCTTCAGCCCTCAATCAAGTGAAACCAATGGGAACTGTAATCAATTAAGGACTGCAAAATTTGGCCTTAAATTTCTCTTCCTCCCTTTTTGTCCAAACCTAATATGGTCAATCAGAGAAGGTTTTAGAGGGAGGAGGGAAAACTTTTCAAACCCAATAAAAGGAAGTGTCATTTTGACTCCAAAATGTTGGCTCATACAGGAGTATTGAATAAAGGAGTCTAGTCTCTTTTCAGTGTGCAGTTGTCGCAGAAGCACAAGACAGCCCCATCAGTCTTCATATACTAACCAGAGTAAACATTGTTATTAATACCTTCATGTTAACATATACAAACACAATATATCAATACATTTTCTTACAAAAATAAGCATCTATTTACAAGGTAAATCTGTCACTACAACTTCAAATTTGTGTGTGAATCTCTAAAATGTTGCAATTGCCCTCCAGACAAATGTCCATTTATGGGTGTTAAAAGTCACATTTGAGAGGAGATAGTTGCATTAATTTTATTTACAGGGCTAAAAATCTTTGAAAAGTTTGCCATGACCATTTTCAGTCCTCCAGCAGACTACATTACAAACTTAAAGAACAACAACATTAAACAGAGTATTTAAATGACTCAAGTAAGGAGTCAGTTGAAGAGAGGTCTTAATTTTTCAGTGTTTCCTGTGACCTGGTCAAAATTCTGGTGTGTTCACAATGATGAAAGGGATTGGGGGGGGGAAGGGGGGAGGAAGAGAGAGGAATGACCATTTCTTGGGGCTGAGTTTGATCTTATCTACACTGGAATAGATCAAAATTCACTTCATTCATTTCAATGGAGTTCCACTGGTGTAAAACCAGTGTGAGATCAGAATCAAGCTCCTTGTATAAAAAGGTTTAAGAAACTAATTCTATATTTTCTGTTAATAGTGTAACAGACTTACTGTTTCTTCAAATGAATGTGGCAATGAATTGTTCAAGGATTGCATCATATGGGCTCCAAGTTTCCTAAAGGCAGGCAAACTTACAAAGAACCGCAGAATTACATCACTACAGCAATAGAGCTGTACCCCATGCAGTCTCACTGTGGAAGATAGAAAATAGCCACCTTGTGGTACACCAACACTCATCCTTCATCGATTAAGCTATGAGCCTTTCATTCATTCTTTAAATTAGGTGGTGTCAGATTGGAGCATGTATCATTTTATGAGGCTCTCTTAAGCACTCTAGCCTTGATTATAGCCAAATTGGTTAGGCTTGAATTTTTTTTTTGTTAAAGATAATAAAAATGATTTGCCAGCAACATTTGGCTTTTATTAGCACATGAATGTGCTTAAGGCATCTCAGTCTAAGGGGTAATCACCCCAACCCCAAAAAACCAAAAGCAACCCTGTTCCAAAGAGTAGCCCATTTTAAAAGCACTATTTCAACTGTACATTCTTAGGGCACATTCAAGTTGGTCTGTAATGGCTTGAGTAGGAGAATCAGCTTTTGCAGCATGAAAAGCAACAGCAGAGGAGTGTTCGACAAGGGTGTTTCCTCCTGTATTCCAAAGCTTTCCTCACCTGACATTTAGCTTCTCCTACATAGTCCTCAACTTTTTCCACATTCAGTTGAATGATGTCAAAGGTGTCAGCCTGTTGCTCCACCAGTAGTGCCACCTGCAGAAAGAGCTCATGAACCTCCCTGATGCGACTCTCCAACTTCATCAACTCTTTGTGTCGCGTCTCTATCTCATTCAATGCTGCACGAGCCCCTCTGACATCAGACAGGAGATTTTCAGAGAAAACATCCCACTTGCCTTGCTCGATCATGTCTTCAATCTGGTTTCCGGAAACATCCTTGCCCATGATCTCCAGCTGTCTCTGGATCCGAATCTTGCAGTTCTCCCGCTGGTTCATCTCTGCCTCATTGTACTCAAACATGGCTTCCTGAAAGGCATGCATGAGGTCAACATAGTGATTCTTTGATACACGGGTTATGACAGACATCGTGCCATGTTTTGTTTCTGCATCTTCATTGAAGTCTTTCATTGTCTGGAGTTTCCTGTGGATGCCTTCTCCACGGGCCTTGATGTCTTTGGCGATGCTGTTAGTATCTCGTTTGATACTACTAAGACGGCGCATGGAGGTAAGAAAGCGATTACTTTGTTTACCTAGCCGTTTGACGTCCTCTTTCAGGTGCAGGTTGTCTGTTCGGATACTCTGGATATCTTTGTAAAGAGCTGCGAGGGCATAATCAGTCTCAAACAGGAGGGTTTCATGAGGTAAACTCTCATCATCTTCATTGTTCGGAAACTGTTGGTTATAAAGCCTAGCTAACTCATACAGTTCACATAACCGGTCTTTCATCCTGCCTGTAGGCAAAGAGGGTTGAGGAGAAGGGAAAAAACAAACAAAAACAGAAAAATTAAAGAATGTATTAAATAAAATATATATTTTTTAAGTTTCACATTTAAAGTATCTTTGCATAAAACACACCACAAAATACCACCCTCTCTTAACTTCCCTGCATCGCTTGACACAGGTCACTGGATTAGAGGTGCTAAGACACTGGCACTTGAGTTCCCTTGTGGTAGCAATAGGGCTCAGTAATATTTTTCCCCTCTTTTTTAATCATGCATTATTGAAAGCTGTACATCCAAAAACCTGTCAATAGTTAAAATAAAAAAACATTGCCATGATTCTTGTAAACAAATAATTAAGGTTTAATAAGAAGCTTGCAGTCATTACTGCTGTGTGTAGAACAGCACACATCTAATTGGAAAAAAAAAATCAAGATTTCTCTGCACCTAGATGCCTTCTAGACCCTGACCCTTTACTGAATCACTAACTCCAACGATCAGAAACCTTAGAATTCTGCCTTTGCAGTTTTTGCCTCAATAAAACCTGTCAACATGTTTGCAGAGTACAAACACATGCACAAAAAATGTAGCAGGGAAAGAACTTGTTACAAGGATTGATATGGAAAGGTTCAGGCTGGGATTTTAGGAAAGGAGCAGAGCACCTAAGGGGATCCACGTCAGTTAAAGCCCAATTCTGGTGTCATTCAGCGCACTGAATTTCTGTTAAATTCAGTGAGCGCTAAATGTGGAGCAGACACAGAACCAACTCTTCATAGAGCTAAATAAAAACTAAAACTAAAACATCAGATTATCCTAGTGGCACGTCTCTTCCATTATTGGAGCACTGTATGTTTATTTTCAAATTCTTGGTACTTGAGACATAAAACTATCAACAGCAAATACAAGAGATCAAATTTACTAAAGCCAGGTTTCTGTGGCACTGCAATTTAGAAGCTGGAATTCCATGACAGAGCCATTTAAATTAAAAGAGTGATTACTGAATTAAATACGTACAGGAATAATACAATAAGCATGCTACCTCTAGTGTTCTATGCTTTGACATTAAACTGAATATTACTCTGCCTTACATTTTCATGTTTCAAGGGCGTGTCCACACTAGCCTTTACAAAGGTGTTAACTACCATGAATTAGTTGACACTAAATTATTTCAAAGTTTGAAAAAAAAAAAAAAAAACAGCTTAGTGCAGACATGGCCAAGGGGTATAGGTGTGGACCCAGTGACAGTCAAAAATGCAAATTTATCATCTGTTGCATAGTTTTTAAAAGTTAAGGAACAAAAACAAAATCCTAATTGCAGCCCCCTCACACAGTAACTACCCTCTTTGACACACATACCTTAAAGTTTTGTAGAACAGGCTTAGCAGGACTCTTGCTAGGTATTTTAAAGAGCTTTTAAGCCACAATTCTGCAAATGCTCACGCATACACTTACTTTTATGGACGTGAATAATCCCACTTAAAGACGCTGGACACATGCAAGTGTTTGCAGGATGGGGCCTTAGGGCTTGTCCCCAAGGCAAAATTTACCAGTGAAACCAATAAGATTATAGTAGTATAGCCCCAGGGTAGACACTCTTACCTTGGCATAATAGTGGCTTTTTTGGTTTAGCTTTATTCCCTTCCAGGCAATAAGCTAAACCAAAAAACAAACCACCACCATATTCTTTACACCAGTACAAGGCTATGTCTACACTGGCAATTGAGCGACAAAATGTCTGTCTTTCAGAGGTGTTAACCGCCCGCCTCCACCCCCAAAAAGGCAAAAGTTTTGCTGCGACAAGCGCCAGTGTGAACAGCGCGTTGTTGGCAGGAGCGCTATCCTGTCAACAAAGCAAACGTCACTCATTGGGGGTGAAAGTTTTTTGTCAGCAGGAGAACTGACAAACAGCAGCTACACTGCACAACTTTTCTATACTACAGAAAGCTAATAGCATCAAGGTGTTTGTGGTGATTTCAAAATACACCCTACAGTAGCAGAAATGAGCTAAGGCACATAAACCTCTGTCATTTTTTGAGGCCAAAATGGTTTTTAATTTGTTAATTTAAATGCAGTGTTGCATGAGACATCTTCCCCCCTCCCTCCCCCACACACACCAAAAAGAAAAAGGGAAAGATGGTTTTGGTCCTGTTAAGACATAGAATTCAGTCTTCCACAAAAAGCTTGTGACAAATTAAGAATGGGGACCTAGCATGAGATTTTGTTGCTGGGATATTTTTTGTCTCTTTCTGCTTTAAAAGCAGGCCCAGAGCACCTTCTCATGAAACAGAATGATTTACTCCTAACAATTTCAAAGAAGATGTTTGTCTTCCTGTTCTCATGGTCAGGTTTTATAACCAGTTTTACATGACACCGTTAATGAAATGGAAGATGTGAAATAATATGAAATTGATTTGGGCACTGTTGTGAAAGTACTGGAGAGGCAGACTATGGATTCAGCCACACTAAAGGATCAAACTGCCCATGGAGTACTACAGTAGTCTAAATCCAAGATAAAAATAATTGAAAATGAATTCCTTACTCTTAACAGTATCTGAAGTTTTTTAAACTCCAAGAATATTTTTAGAGAATCTAAACTATGCTTCACCGTGTACACCATTTGTTTATTTTCTATATTTCATTCAGTTGAGAGGAAAAACTGAAACAGGACAGTTTAGACAGTTTTGCTTATAAATTAGTTTCCTTTTTCAGTTATCATGCACTAGCACAATGTTAAAGTGTTTGGGGATAGCCACCACAGGAGACTATTAAAAAAACAAACAAACAAAAAAAAAACCACAACCCACAGACAGCCACTGAAGTTAAAAATAAATACATAAAAAGTAAAACAAAAACATTTGTGTTAGAGAAATATAAATAGCTATACCCACTTCTCTCTTTAATGACAACTAACCCCTAAAAATGTGTCTCTCTTTAAAGTTCAAACTCATCCTCTCCATAGAGGATGAAAGGGAAACTGCTTAAGTTTGGTTCAAGATTTACATTTTGCAAGAACAGCTTACATAAAACCTAGGACCAAGGGAAGCATTTCCACCTTAAAGAAACAAAAAACAAACAAATAAATCCAATTACATTTTAATTAAAATAATCATCCCCCAGCAATATTGGGAATGCAACTATTGCAGCATGGAGGACCCAAAAATGAAAGTCTAAACAAACATTTTGATTTTCATTGTCAAAACTGAGAGAACTTAAATACATACATACACGCGCACCCCCCCCCAACAAGTAGTGACAAACACACACTTCTAGTGATTTTAGATATTAGTAACATAGGTAAAGAAGTCTGCTCATAGGTTGACAACGTTCCTTTAAGTCCATTCTACATACTATGGTGTGAAACTAGTGGTGAAGGCTAGGTGAGCTGTAGTCGGTCAAAAATGACATCTCCGTTGGACTTTTATTTAAAGTTAGTTGGTACTTCTTAGGGGTGCAAAGGTAACCTGACAAAACCCAAAGCTATGCTGTCTTATTGAGTGCAGACAGCCTGAATGAGATGAATGTGGTTCGTTTTCACCGCTATCAAGTGTCATCACTGTAACCTAATTAACTATGCTGTCATTTTAGCAGCAATAATTCCAGTATGGTTGTATATTGGAGTCCAGTGATGCAAAAAATCTTTTACTGCAGGTCACCTAGCCCATACTCAATTTCAAATGTTATATAAGTACATAGTGATGCTAGTTTGCTTTCACTAGATCTAAAATAAATACAAGCAATATTAATGGTAAGCCAATTCTCTGGGTGAGATGCAAAGGTACTAAACCAGTGTCAGTTGAGAAAGATGTCCCCATTTAAAATCCCTTAGTAGTGAATAAGAGGCAATTTGAAGCACATGCAGACATAGTGGCTTCAATCGGAGCATTGCTCCAACTTTAATGAATTAGCTTAATAACACCCTTTTAAGATATTTTATATATTAGAAAGCTAATACACACACATTCTCTACAAGGGCACTGTTTCTGAAAGTTTTCACTTCACAACCATCAATATGTCTTCAGCATTGCTATCAAAGTATCTTCAAGAAATAATTCCTTTAAATAGAGCAAAGAGGATTATATAGATAGATCTATTTACATCGAGATTCTCACATTTGTTTATAGTGTGGACCACAATTTTAGAGAGACTGACTTGTGGATCACCTCCCTCCCATTCACAATCAGTCATCATGACACATCCCTGTAGTAACTAGAGAAGTTACTGTACTTACATTAAAAAAATAAGTCAAGCAAAGAGTGTATTTTTAGTAGTCTTAATATGATTTAGCAGTTGGAAGTTAGGAAAGCCTGCACTATGTGACTAGCCAACTCTTCTCTCTCTCTCTCTCTCACACACACACACACACACACACACACACACACACACACACAGTGTTTGATAGAGAGTTGCAGTTCTGGTCCATATAGTGAGTGCTCCCCAAATTAGGTAAATAAGAGGAAAGCTAATCAAATCCAAATTCTAGATGCAACAGAGGCAAAGAGAACTGGATATGGATCTATATGCACAGGCGGATCATCATAATTGTACAGCTCAACAATTAGTCTAGGGAAAGATTTTCAGTGCCTATTTAGGTGATAAAGATGCAGATAGGTACAGTACTTTTGGAAAAGAAAAAAATCTCACTAGGCACTTAACTTCCCTAAATCTGATGTTCACATGCTGATTAACAGACCAACAAAGAAACAAAAACAAACAAACAAAAACCCTACCTGGTGGTGGTCAAAACCTCCTGTTACAGCCCAGTAACTAGTGTTATCAATTTAAGAAGGGAAAAAATATTTACTAAAAGTTGAGTGTGAAAAACAGCTGAGCAGGCAAGAGATATAGTTCATAATTCTACACTTACTGTAACGCCACAGTCGACTGAAGATGACTTGGAATATCATGTCAGAGTGGTTGATGCCAATTCACACTTATGGAGGAGACAACGTAATATGAAATTATTGTACCAAAACTCCTTCCTAGCAAGCCTGGTTAAAGTGGCATTGTCATGT